TGAGCCTGGGGGTTGGGAAACCACCACCTCATGCTTTTCTAGGGTTTCTGGACTTTGGTCCAAGCTCAGTGTCTTCACCCCCCTCCCCCCCCCTCCAGGGCAGCTGAGCAAGGACAGTCTTTTCTTCCCATCCTTACAAATTATTCCAACTTTTCTTTCTGGAAAATCAGCTGACCACTCAATAAAGGAAGTGAGAAAAACCAGCACAGTTACCAGAAGGCCCTGTGGCACCCACACCCCTGGCTAAGATAACACCTCAGTTTGGCCACACTCTCCTGATGGCTTCTCTTTGGAGCTGCAACCATTAGAAGCATATGCCCACAACTGAAGATCAGAATCAATAAACACACCTCCATACGAACTTTATCAGTCTAACAATTCCTTTTTTCAGGCACACTAGAACACCTCTGGGTTTGATTTTAACTCCAGTCCTCTCCTAATGTAGTTCAACTCCTGGGACCGGCCAAACGCAGCCAGACTTCCCATCTTATCACTAAAGACTAGAGAAGGATGGCTTTTTCCCTCCCCAGGGCGGTCAGTTTTGGAGGCATCTTTCTTGTTCTCTGGCCCTCCAGCGAACAGGCCTGACCCCCAGGATCGTCGCCTGCGCATCTGCATGTTCCAGCCACAGCTCAGGCTGGGAGTTTAAAGACAGAAAGGACAGTGATGACTGACCGGTCCTTTCAGACACTGGAAGCACATAGTGGGAAAGAAGACTTTTCTGGATTTTGGCCACAGCCAAGGGTGTGGAGCAAACGGGAGTAAATCTGGTTAAGGAGACGACAGAAGGACAGTTTCCTTCCAAAGACATAAAATCCTGCAGCAATGAATTAAACATTTCAAACAAGATGACTGTCTTAAAAAGTCTTTTCAACCAAGAAGGAAAGACAGGCCGTCCTGTGCTGGGACTTCCTGTTGCATATGGCACAGAGAGACGCTGTTCTCTCAGCACGAAGAGCTTCCCAGACAACGACAGACACCAAGGGGAAAACAGAGGAGGAGGCCTCTTCTCAGAGCAGGGGGCAGAAAGGACTGGAGGGGAACAGGAAGGGGACCACCCCAAGCCAATACCGTGGCCCTGACAGGACCAAGGAGATGACTGTGGAGGGACAGGGTGCGCTGGGACAAGTTGCAGATCACAGAAACACCACCTGCCTCCTGCAGTGGAGGGCACCCCACATCCTCCGGGATGAAGTGAGCTACTTGGGCTCCAAAGATCTCTTTCAAAGTGTAACGCCTGTGAGTTCACAGAAAGGCCAGGCCTCAGTGGGGGTGCCGCCCTCTGCACCCACCAGAGAACCTCAGTGCACAGCACCCTGGTGGGAGGAACCCACAGGAGTCCCCAGGGTGTACCAACTGGACTCTCTCCCCAAACTGGGGCTGAACTTCTCCAGGCAATACTAAGGCTTCTCTTGCCCACTGTTACAGCCTGGGGGTGGGCAGGTCAGGACCTGACCCTGGCCCTCGTTCTTGCTCCTAGCACAGGTCACCCGGCTGCCACCCCTCTCCAATCACCAGACAGCAAACTCTCTTCCCCGGGCCTGGCACGACCTGCTGCAGAATTCGAAGAAGAGGCGCCAGCCAGGTTCCCTGAGCTGGAACCTGGGCTCAGGGGCGCTGGAGGCTGGCGAGGGTCAGTGCCTCCCACACTCCAGGAGCAGTCCCTTGCCACCTGAGTCCCTCTCCACGCCGCGGGTGGCAGGCCAGCCCTCTCCAACTCCCGGAGCGGTAGTAAGTGTAAGGCTTGGAACCCTGCGCAGCCCAGCCGCGCCGGGGCGGTGGGTGGGTGGGTGTCTGCCGTGGGATTATTCTTAGCGCTCCACTCTCTTTGCAAAAGTGGCGCCTCCGCCCTCCGGGAGCCGGCACGCTCGCGGGGGCTCGCACGCGCGGCCCAGACGCCAGCGCGGAGCAGAGCCGGGTGGGGTCCTGCAGGAGTGAGGCGCAGAGGCGCAGGAGAGGAGGGTGCTCGCGAGGGAGGAGGGGGCGCTGCGGGAGGAGCCCCGGAGAC